CATTTTCGAAGAAAAGATTAATTTGAAAATGTTTAATTATTATTCTAAGAAAAGATTTATTTGAAAATGTTTAATTATTATTCTAAGAAAAGATTTATTTGAATGGTCTAATTATTATTCTAAGAAAAGATTTATTTGAAAATGTTTAATTATTATTCTAAGAAAAGTTTTATTTGAAAATTTTTAATTATTATTCTAAGAAAAGATTTATTTGAAAATGTTTAATTATTATTCTAAGAAGAAATTTATTTGAAAATGATTAATTATTATTTTAAGAAAAGATTTATTTCAAAATGTTTAATTATTATTCTAAGAAAAGATTTATTTGAAAATGTTTAATGATTATTCTAAGAAAAGATTTATTTCAAAATGTTTAATTTCTAAAAGTTTAATTATTATTCTAAGGAAAGATTAATTTCAAAATGTTTAATTATTATTCTAAGAAAAGATTTATTTCAAAATGTTTAATTATTATTCTAAGAAAATATTTATTTCAAAATGTTTATTTATTATTCTAAGAAAAGATTTATTTGAAAATGTTTAATGATTATTCTAAGAAAAGATTTTTTCAAAATGTTTAATTATTATTCTAAGAAAAGATTTATTTCAAAATGTTTAATTATTATTCTAAGGAAAGGTTTATTTCAAAATGTTTAATTATTATTCTAAGGAAAGAATAATTTCAAAATGTTTAATTATTATTCTAAGGAAAGGTTTATTTCAAAATGTTTAATTATCATTTTAAGGAAAGATTAATTTAAAAATGTTTAATTATTATTCTAAGGAAAGGTTTATTTCAAAATGTTTAATTATTATTCTAAGGAAAGATTAATTTCAAAATGTTTAATTATTATTCTAAGGAAAGGTTTATTTCAAAATGTTTAATTATTATTCTAAGAAAATGTTTAATTATTATTCTAAGAAAAGGTTTATTTCAAAATGTTTAATTATTATTCTAAGGAAAGATTAATGTCAAAATGTTTAATTATTATTCTAAGGAAAGGTTTATTTCAAAATGTTTAATTATTATTCTAAGAAAAGATTGATTTCAAAATGTTGGATTATTATTCTAAGAAAAGATTTATTTCAAAATGTTTAATTATTATTCTAAGGAAAGATTAATTTCAAAATGTTTAATTATTATTCTAAGAAAAGATTTATTTGAAAATGTTTAATGATTATTCTAAGGAAAGATTAATTTCAAAATGTTTAATTATTATTCTAAGGAAAGGTTTATTTCAAAATGTTTAATTATTATTCTAAGAAAAGATTTATTTCAAAATGTTTAATTATTATTCTAAGGAAAGGTTTATTTCAAAATGTTTAATAATTATTCTAAGAAAAGATTAATTTCAAAATGTTGGATTATTATTCCAAAAAAAAAAGATTTATTTCAAAATGTTGGAATATTATTCTAAAATAAGATTTATTTCAAAATGTTTGATTATTATTCTAAGAAAATATTTCTTTGAAAATGTTTGATTATTTTTCATTCAAAGGAAAGTTTTATTTGAAAATGTCAGAAATATTATGTAAAAGTGATCGTTCTAAGGAATGTTTCATTTGAAAATGTTAAAATGATTAATATAAGGAAGATTAATATGGCAGTGTTACAATGATTATTCTAAGGATTTGTTTTATTTGAAAATGTAAAAATGATTAATATAAGGAAGATTAATATGGCAGTGTTACAATGATTATTCTAAGGATTTGTTTTATTCGAAAATGTTACAATGATTATTCTAATAGTCGAAATTTTAAATTTAAAAGATTTACTGGTATCTTTCTATCAAACTATCTAAATATCATTGCAGGGTGGTATGGATTTTATTATACTACAGTTTGGTTTGTGTACTTTCAAGTTTGACAACAAAAAGAAAAGGTAGGTTGTCTTTTTAAGTCAGCAAGTGAATACTCATCAGTTGGACTTACCACATGCTTTGACTAAAGAATAGAATCTATATATACCACAATATATCCATTACACTAAATAATTATTGAAAAACGCTTCTGAGCTTGTTTGAAAATTACTTAGTTTCATGAATTATTATTTTGTTTTATGGGTTTATTTGAGGGATTCTGTTGTATGGTTTTAACACTATGTAAGTCCACATTTTGGATTCAATTTTTTTGTACATCTAAGATGTAATATACCTTAAAGACAAATTTATGAAATTGTTAATTAGAATTTTTCATATGAAAGAATGAAGATATTATACCTCAGTGCCATTTTATTTTTGGCTATATTTATGACTTTATTCTTTTAAGAAAAATAATATTTTGAGTCAATTAATTAGCAACTGTTGAGTCATTAACAATTTAACTCATAAACATAGATATAACTTATAAACATAAATATAACTTATAAACATAAATATAACTTATACAGAACATTCATTGTTCAGACAATGTTTTCATTGCTGAATTCAGAGTACATATTAAAACATTTTGAATATGGAAACCATTGTGTGTAGTATTTGAATTTTCAATCCAGTGTTTAAATTATCTGTTATAGGTTAACGGCACAGCCATACAACTTTCAAATATTTCCAAGGCCTTATTCTCATCAGGCTCCAGATAGACGATTTATGTGTCAGGTAAGTTAGTTCTGTAAGATAGTATGGACATATATTTTTGTCACACATTCATAATTTTGTTTATAAATACATGTATTGTTATATATATTATTATTTTTTCTTATTTTTTTTCTTTTTAATTTATTTGGTTGTGTCTGTTTAGAATTAAAGTAAAAAGTGAATGTTTAATTTGCGGTATATGTTAGAAATTTTACATGTAATTTTTTTTTTTTTTTTTTTCAGAGTTCCAGTATAGATTTCCTTGTATCCCAGGGTTTTGATTTTAACAAGGTATTTTATGAAGGTAATAGATCTAGAATTCTAGTAATAGTTTGACAGAACAGTTTACTGAGTTAGAATCTTGTATATATACAAATGATGTACAATGTAATGATGTTTTTGCTCTCTTTTAATACTGCCTGTCTATATACACCTATCTGTGACTGTTTTATTAAAATTAATTAAACAAGTTTTGAAAAATTTCAAGAGCAATGAAAATTTGGTTTTGTATTAGATCCGTACTAATCTGGATAAAGATAGAAAAAGTAAAAGATAGTTCACGGCAATGGCAATCCTGCTCCATAACTTTCATGTTAAAGTTATTAACATATTAAAGTGAGGGCTAGAGAACTTCTTTTTGCTTTTAATACAGTGGTGTAAGCTATTTTCGTGGATATAAGGATTCAACACCGAATTTTGTCAAAGTTAAAAAAACGAAATTTTTTTTTTATGTCTTAGATGTTTCCTCAGATATTCTACAAAATAACTAAAATTGGTTTATTTCGATTTTCTTTAAGAATCCTTCACTTTGACCCATATTTCATGAGCAACCAACTCGGCAACGGCGGCAGAATGCATCACCTATTTTCATGTACAATGTTTGATCTATAAATAAGTCTAGAAAAACACGTTGTATGGATACCCAGTGGTATAATTAACTTCTCTTAGTATTTATCTTTAATATCAATTCATTATAACAAGTGACAATTCCTTCAAAGAACCACGATTTAAAAAAAAAATAATGACTGACAAAATAAGATACGTAGCATTATATATTGCTAAAAGTCACTGAAACAACATAAGAATATAGTCCACTTTGTGTTCCATAGAAACTTCTGCTGACACGGAATCCACTAGTTGATCATGTGACTTCATTCGTTGGACTACATTCTAGCAGACGACACTTGGAATTCCGATTACCGCTTGGGATTATAAGGAAATTCGGCCGATAAAAAATGGTAATGTTTGGTAATAAGTGAAATCCGCCATTTTGTATTTGTCAAAGTATACATTAATACATTTTACCTTGCTTGAAACTACTGAATTCATTCTAATAGCTGAAATTTTAGAGATAACACATGTTTATCAATACAAACTAATGCGGAGGTCGCGCAAGGTCGCTCATGTAAATTATTAAACATTTCCGGAAATGCACGAATAATAGGTTTCCACAAAATTAGGTTACTTGACTGTACTTGAAAATTACTATATTGTATTACAATCACATTGTCGAAACACTAATAGAAA